ACAAGCAGGACCTGCCCAAGTCCCTGCCGGTGGCCGAGATCGAGAAGCAGCTGGCGCTCCATGAGCTCACCCCTTCCACCACCTACCACATCCAGCCCGCCTGCGCCATCATCGGCGAGGGGCTCACGGAGGGCATGGACAAGCTCTACGAGATGATCCTGAAGCGGAGGAAGTCCCTCAAGCAGAAGAAGAAGCGGTAGAAGCCCCGCAGACGCGGGGAGGGATTGGGGGAGCAGACAAAGGAACTGAGGGGGCGAGAGAACCAAAGCGATTCTTTTGGGTTTAATAGTTCATATTATTTTTGGTTTTCCTCTTTTTTTTTTTTTTTGTTTTCCTGCTTATTTTTCTTCCCTCCTTTCCCAGCGCACAGACAATAGTGGTGATAACAAAGCCGCTCCTGCCAGCCAAGCCCAGATCCCGGCTGCGGGCGATGAGCCGGGATCTCTTCCCTTTCCCACCGCCCCTTTCCGAGAACCACCGTGCTCCCAAGGGCCGGATCCGGACGGAAACATGTTTTTGGGGCGAGACCCCCTCCATCCTTCGGGACCACCGAGCTTTTGTGTGCCGGGGTGGGTGTGTTGTGTGTGTGAACAGGGCAGGACCCTGTTGAAGTGCATTTGAGAGGAGCCCAGCGTGCTTCTGGATCTTTAACGTGTACATTTGGGGCTGGGGGGGGGGGGGGGGGAGGGAGGGTAAAAGCAGCTCCAGGGCTCGGCAAGGTCAGTGGTGAGGGGGCTTCAGGCTGCGCCCAGATGCTGCTGCATCCCGCTGCATCCCTCCATTTGTCGGTGGGAAGGGGTGTTGGAAGCCGAAGGGGGGGGCTGGACCAGCACAAAATGTCGGTGTGTGGGGGGATGATGGGTGAGGAGACACACACCCACCCCACAGGCTGGTGTTTCAGGGTGCAGAGCAAGGACAGGCAGCCTTCAGCCCTGTAAGGCTGCAGTGCCAGGGGTGCTTGGCTGACCGGTGCTGAGCTTTAAGCTGTTTGCTTGGAAAAAGCAGATAAGAAAGGCAAGGATTTGGGATGATGCTGCTGGAAGCATCGTGAGGGTCTCCCAGGAGTGCCCCATCTCAGACTCAGAGTGTCACCTTCTGAAGCAAAGCCCTGAGCGGGTCCTTTTGGAGCTCAGCTCCACGGTGCTCATTTGCTTCCAGCTGGGGTGATCAAAACTAGGGGTTAGGGAGTAAAGCCGAGCCAAAAGCAAGCTTTGCGGTACTAGTCTCGCTGTGAGAGAGGTCAGGGCACAGCTCGCTAAGGGCAGGTTTGAGGGGGGGGGGGGTCATGGCAGGGTGGGATGGACAGCTTGGATGGCCAGAGCTAGCAAAATCTCTGCTGGAAAGGGACTCGGCAGTGCCGGGAATATGGCAGAGTGTGAGGAGACATGGGAATGGGGGTGGGTAACATGGGGGGGGGGGGGGTGGTGTTAGTTTTTTATATATATATAAAGATTTAAACCTGATTCACAGCAGAAAGCCCCTTGCTGCCTCTGCCTGCTGGGTGCCTGGGGCAAAGATAGGCCTTCCTCTGTCATAGAATGGTTTGGGTTGGAATGGACCTTAAGATCATCCAGTTCCAACCCCCTGCCATGAGCAGGGACACCTCACACTAGACCGTGTCACCCAGGGCTCTGTCCAACCTGGCCTTGGAAAAGGCCTTCTGCAGGTGAACATTTTGGTACCTGTATGGGACTGGGGCCCAAAAGCCATTTGCTGTGTGTTTTTTTTGGCCTGGGACCCACCCCTCCCTGGCTTTCCACTCTGCCCCCAGCGCAGAAGCAGGCAGCCCTCAGGGTCCTGATATCCTGAGTTTAGAGCCATGCAGCGCGGCAGGGTTCTTCCCTGGTGATTTTACACCAGCTTTCCCGATTGAAAACCCCTTTCCCAGAGCAGCCAAGGGGGAAGCACAGAGCAGACAAAAGGAAAATGCCCTTCAGGTTTCAGGGAGTTGATTCTCTCCTTTGCAGCAATGAGTGCAGCACCTTCCCAATAGCGGCTTTTGGGGTGGTTGGGGTACACGAGTCCCAGCTTATGTGCTGAGTGGGCTGGTCCCATCAATTCAGGTGGCTCTGTTCCCACTGCCTTGGCTTTGCTTTGCTTTGTCTTCACCTCCAATGCTGGCACTTGTTGTCGAGAGAGGAAAAAGGAACTTCACGCATTTCTTTTTGATGCCACAGAAGCCACATGCATCGATCTTTTGTTTTGGAGAGGCAAAATGTAAAGCTGTGCTTTCCCCATGAGCAATCGATCAGGTTTATAAAGGCCACATGTGCAGGGGTTTGCTTCCTTGTAGGGCTTGGATTAGCAAATGCTGGCCTGGGAAGCTTGGTGGCGTGTTATCTCTGGAGCTCGGTGTTGGTTAGAGCATCCCCTTGGACATGGCAGAGCACAGCGAGCTGGAGGGTTCAGCTGAGCCAAGGAAGGGTGCCGTTCCCACCGACTCTGCTTTCTGCAATAATTAAACAGACTTTTCCCAATGGCTTCCGTGGTATTCCCATGACATTTCCCAGCCCTGTGCCCAGTTGTTCCCCCTGTATGAAGATGCGTCGCCGGCAGTGGGCTGGAAGATGTGCCTCAGCAGAGCAGTGGTGAAGGGAAAGCGCTTGGGTTGTGGCTGTGGTAATGGGCTGGGTTCTTTGCAAGGTTGTGGGTCTTGACATAACGTTTGAATGACCTTCATTGGGTTTAACTGAGCAGCTCTCACGAGGTACCGCTCTCATGTCCCCAGGTACCTCTGCAGTGTTCCCATCAGTGTTGGGTATCCCGTGTCCTACCCCTGCCATTGTCCGTCAGTCTCTGTTCCTCCTGGTCTTTCCTTCTTTTGTTTTTTAAAAGATGCAGACATAATGCTGTGAACTGAAATAAATTATTTATACAATGAAAGGGCCTGATAAAAACAACAAAGAGAAAATAAATGTGTTCTCCTTATTTCTCAATGGCGATGCTGCAGTTTGCAGTTGGTTCTCATTGCGTGTGGTGAAGAAGGTTGCTCCTGCCTCCCCAGGGAGAGGAGCCATAGGCAGAGGGATGGAGAAGTGACCTGGTCAGGATCACTGGACATGGGGCTGCCTTCTAGGACATGGATAATATTGCAGTTAATTCAATCTGAGCTCTTTGCAGGTCACTTCACAAAAGGGGAGAGCACTCTTTGGGGTGGGTGTTTTCTTCCCTCCCCTCTTCCTATGGTAAATGGATGTGGAGGAGGTGATCACCCAGCACTTAGAGGTGAGGAAGTGCTGGTGTTTGCTCCGTGCACGGCCTCAGTGGCAGAGAGCCAGGTCTGCAGGGGTTAAAGCACCAGGCTTTAAGAACAGTTGAGAACAGGATGCTGCAGCGCTGGAGGCTGCCTCTGCTCCTGGGTGGCTGCTGACACAGGAAACCCAGGGTGACATCTCAGAGAGGACAGCCTGCATTGGTTAAATGACTTCTCCTTTGCTGAAGCGATGACAAGGCAGCAAAGAGGAAGTGATGAGCCCCATGTGTGAAAGCGGGATCTGGCGGGGCTTGTGAGCACTTGCCCTGCTTGAGCTTCTCTCTGCCTCCCAGGTTTCCAGCGTGCACAGTGAGGATGGGCCTGCTTAGCAGCATCTGGGTTCTAAAGTGCTGCAGGACCTAGAAATGAACCTAAAGACTTACACAGTGATGCAGTTACTGAACTCCTATCTATACATGCCCAGAAACCCTTTGGAGCTCAGTTGGATCTGTGGCATTCAAGGACTGAGTTGCTGAGTGCTTAGCTGGCTTGTGACTATGCAGGGAGCCTCTGAGAGGTGCAGATCCCCACAGGCTTGCACAGAGCGTCACCAATGGGTTTCTGTCCCTCTGCCACACAGGTGGCACGGTGCTCGCGAGGATGCTTCTGACCATCACTTCCCTTTGTGCCTCTAGCCTCACTGTCCAGGTAGCACGCAGGACATCATGTGCTTCTCCTGGCCTGTGTTCCACGTATCTGGAAGCCCAGGAGCCGATGCTGCAGTGCCTGCACCCTCCATAGCATGGAAGGACTTGTCCTCACTGATCCAACCTGGCAGGAGCCACTTCAGGAAGGTGTTCCTGCACACCATTGTCCTGTCCCTGTACTGCAGCGAGCACAAACTTGGGTCCCTTGGGCACACAGGGTGACCTGCTGAATTCCATATGGAGCTGGGGTGGGCTTTCCTCCTCCTAGTTTGGGGAGTAATGGGGGAAACCATCCCTGCCCCTGGATGGAGGAGGAGAAACAGCCATTAGGGCTTGGGCTGTAGATTTTGAGAGGCTGTGACTCTGTGTGTGCAACTGTGCAACTGAAACCACTGTGAGCAGGGTTTATTTCACTGCCAAAGCCACTGGCTTGCAGGAGGGGTTACGTCTTCTTGCAAGCAAAGCTCGTTGTGCCTCGAGCTGTAAGGACATAGATCCTCCTGTGAGCCACACAGCTCCTCCTGGCCAGAGAGTGCTGTTGTCAGCAGGGGTTTTTGCGTGTTTAAGCCCGTTGTCATGAGAACATTGCACAAGGAGCAGCATATTGGCCATGATTGATGCTGCTGATCCATCTCCCCAAGCAGGCAGGGCAGTGAAGCAGCAAGTGGTGCTGAAGCTGTGGTCTCCTGATGCCTGGGGACCCTTATGGCACATGTAGTGCCTGAGGATGCTGCCCCGGAGCTATGAGCTGCATCAGATCTCTGCAAGCTTGGGCTGGGAGCAGCAAGAAGGACCTGCAACCTTTCACATAGCAGACCGTGTGGGCACAGTTTGGGTAGGGGGGATAACCATGTCTTTAAAATGGGCTATAAACCATTACAAAGAGACAAAGACACCCCCACCCCCCACACCCCAATTCCAATTTTGAGCCTGTTTGCTTTGTTTCATTCAGTCAGCTCCATCCTAGAGCTTCTTCAACATGAATTACCCCAGATCACATATACCTTGGGTCTGAGCAGCAAAAAGCCACTGCTGGGAGTCAGGGCTGCAGGACACCAGGCACAGAGAAGGTAGTACTTGCCTATAGAGTACAACTGATCCACTTCAGCACAAGCACAGTCTTATTGAGGATGGTTTACAATCACATGGGAATATGGAGAGCCCAGCATGGGAATATTTGCTCTATAAACCATTCGGTTTGTTTCAGCTTAACCTGTGTTTGCTTCCCGCAGATCTTTGAGTGAGATTTAAAGGAGGAAAGCTTACAAAAAAACACAAAACAACCAACAATTACATTAAAGTACTGGTGGAAGGTGAATTATGAAGCCTATAAATCTCCCAAGTGTTCATGCTGGAGCTGCACCCAGCTGATGGGTGACCAGACATAATCCCATGGTCCTTATGATACCCTCATCCTCCCTCCATGACAGCCTTGACTAAGGACATCTGATGGCTTGCAAAGATGCTGCAGCATGAGGGTCAGGCACTGTGGAATGGAATGTACAGATCGTTTCACCCAGCTCTTCATCAACTCATCATCATCATTGTCATCACCATCATTATCATCATCTTCATTGTCCTTTATCACTCCGGCCCAATGGTACCCACATTCTGCCTCTGGAGTGGGCTGCCGTCAGCTCAGACAGTTTCTTGTGATACCTCAGAGCTGGGGCTGCAGTATTCCCAGAAGTTGGTGTCTGGAGAGACAAAGTACACCCAAAGCTCCTGATCCCACCTGGCATTGCTTTCAAACCTGTACTTTGCTGCTGGAAAGAGAGCAGGACACAAAGCTGCGTCTCAGTGCCATCAGCTCCCACCTAACCCTCATCACATCACTTCAGATGCCCTCAGGCTGTAAAAGAAGGTTGTCAGCATTAGTCTTACTTTGAAGGCTAACAAAAACCCAACTGGTGGTTTTATGATACTCAGATCCCCACAGTAAAGATGCCAAACTTGCAGGATTGTCCTTACATGAGGAGGAAAGTGGTTGAATGGTGCTTGGCTGGGTGGAGATGGCTGCAAGTCCTGCATCAGAGCTCAGTGCCTTGGTTCAGTATCCACCAGCTCGATGCTGACTTGATCTTAGGAGCTGTTGGCTCTGAAACCCTCCAGCCACATCCAAGTTACAGCTGCAAGAAGGATGTTCATAACCCGTTTTAGTCCCCTGCTCCCACACCTCTTGGCAACCCAAAGGGGTGGTCACGAAGTCCTGCAGGCAGAGGAGGTGGCACGGAGGCTCCTGTCACTGTCCTAGCACTGTGCCAGGGCCGGAGGCAGCTCAAGACCCTGCAGAGGTGAAAGACCATTGTGGTAATTGGGAATAGGAACACAGGGCAATTGTTGTGCTGGTTAATGTTTAAATAGCTCTTGGAAAGCCCCCTCCCTTGCTGCTTACACTAACAAGGGGGCCCTTTCAACTCTTTGGCAATTTCCCCATACTTTGGCTTCTGCTGCCTGTTTAAAACATCCACAGCCTGGAGGGGAAATGGCAATGCTGTAGCTTTGCAATGGTTTCTTGCCCACCACATCCTCCCAGGGTGGACCACGCTCTTCCCAACCCAGCCTTAGAAACCACCTGATTGCTTAGAAGGGAAAAAAGATCTCCCTCAAAAAGCCAACCCACCACCTACGTTTCCATCAGCCCTGGAGCATCTCCAATTGGGAATGGGATAGGGATGATTTAGGATAATCCCCTGCCAGTTTTGCCTTCAGCTTGTGGCACTGAAGCTGAGCCTCTCCCAGCTGCTGCCCATCTTCCTCTTTCCATCATAAGAGTGTGATGTAAAGAGTCCCACAGTGATTTGTCCCTCATCAGCTGCAGGATAAATAACCCATCTGGGACCCTAACCTGTGCCACCCCCCTGTGCAATTGAATGAGAGCAAAGCAGGAGGTGGTGGGGCTCAAACTCATTGTAAAACCTCAGCATCAGCACTTCTGTTCAGCCTGGCTGCTCCGCGTCCCTGGTAACCGCTGGGGGGGAATGGGCACTGAAGCGTGATTGCAGGTGGGTAAGTCCTGGTGTGACAATGTGTTTGAAGAGAGCAGTGGAGCATGAGGAGGCCGTAATCCCATCGAGAGGTCATGGAAAGGGGCTGGATTGGGAAAAAGAGCCCTGCTGGGTTTTTATCACTGTGGCCGGAGGGTTTACAACCTCTGAGGATGCTCTGGGCTGAGAGAGCCTCTAATGGCTCACTTGAAGCTAAAAACTGCCTTAGCTCTGGATGAGGGAAAGCCTGGGAGGAGTGGGACTGGGGTCCATGAGCAGCATCCTCATTCCCCACCTCCTTGCTGCACTGCAGGGCTGGAGCCTGGGTACCTCTTGAGGCAACAACTGCACAGAGAGATGCTGGCTGCTGCTCCCCACCCGTTTATGGATTGCTAGCACCAAGGCTTGATGTTTATCGTGTGGTCACCCATGGGACACATGGGTGCCCAACACTCCTTTATTTTTAGCTAGATAACAGACAGTGATGCAGGAAGATGGGAGGGAGAAGGGGGGAGCTGTGCCTGCTGAGACCATGGCAGTGTGCAAGTTCCTCATTCATAATTACTTGCAAGTAAATTCTTGGTATGCTTATATATATACACACACACACACACATATGTTTATATTCAATTTGTGTCCTGATTTTTATACATATCTACATTATACATACATTATATATATACATTTATACATATATAATAGCACACAGGGATAGTATAGTGCAAATATTTCATTAGCTCTTGTGTCAGCAGGACATTCTCCCCACAGTTTCAGCTCCAGCAGGCAGCCATGTGTCCCAGTAGGCATCCCAAGCATATGTTAGGGAAGAGAAAGGCTGACTTCCAGCATGAGCTGGAGCTGGAGGAGCCTTGTCTTCATCAGCTGAAGGACCTGCACTGCAGCTTATGAGAGCTGCTTCCCTGCATCGCCTTCCAGCACGACCCTGATGGCCCTGGGATGAGGTGGAAGCCTCATTCCAGCACTGAACTGACTTGTTCACTGCCAGCTTGTGGGACTGAAGTGTGATGTGGGGCCCACCAACTCCAATCGCTTCTAGAAACTTCCTTTCCTATTAGCTGAGCCATGGCTCTGCCTGCCCCTCTTAAAGAGGGTATTTCTTCTTGAACTAGGGGAGCTACAGTGGAGATGCCCACAGAGGAAGCATGGGGATGCTCATCCAGACCCCATCACTGGGCAGACCCAACCCTTTGAGGTCATGTCTTGGTGATCGATGAAGCAGGGTGAGAGAGGCCCCATGCCAAACACTGGCATCTGTAATGGAACTGCTTGGAAACCATCCAGTGCTCCTCCTCTCTTGCCATCCAAACCTGAGAATTCATCAAAAATGACCCATTTCATGGAAATGCTGATGGCGAAATGCCACTCTGGCGCTGAAAAAGCAGCAAACTGCAGTGACCTTGAGCATTCAGGTAATGCTGAAACAGCAGTTCTGGGCTGGATCATGTTTGCTCTGAGATAGCTCTTTACTGGAAACTTTTAAAGGCACATTCATTTCTTAAATGGACAGAATGAAATCTACCTTGAAAGCTGTGCAGGGCACAAGGGGAGGCTGTGCACAGCGTCTCTAACCTCTCCCCCTGGGGTGATACTCCCCAAACGCATCCCACTCTTACTCACAATGGATTCTCTGGCCTATCTGAGAGGTCCTTCCATCTTCTCCATGCTGTGGCTTTTTTCTTGCTGAGTATCCAGGAGTCTCTGGTATCAGGAGGCCAGAGACCTCAGGAAGCTCTTCGGAGCAGAAATGGCAGCAGAAGGAATTCTGTCCCTTTTCCCCGTGCTTCTAACCTGCTACCCTGTTGGAGCTTCTTTTGTCATGAACTATGCAGAGAATTGTTGTGTTTCTAATGATCTGAACCCCTTCAGTCAAGACAAGACTCAACCTGCAAAGAATGTGAATAATTTATGTGTAGATAATAACAAGAGGGAGGGCATGAGGAAAAAGCAGTTTGTCTTTCATTCCCCTCAGCACTGCTCCTCAGGCTTTGCTCTGGCCAGAAGAGCTATTCCTGATTATCCCAGGTGGACTCATTTACTTTGGGTCCTTCCTTCACCTCTGCAAGCTTTAATGCAACCCACTGTGGATGCAGTTGCTACTTTTCTCCCCAAATTCACCCTAGATCTGTATTCTTTTGCATCTTTGCATGGCCTGGATGAGCTTTTCTCTGCAGGCTGGTCCCCAGAAGCAGAAATCCAGCTCCCAGCTCCAGCCTTGCAAATGCAGTGATTTACTCTCAAGAAACCTTGTTGTGCTGGCATAAGCCAGGAGCCCTGACACGTCAGTTTGATTTGAGAAGCCCTAGCAAGAGCAAATACATAGCTTGTGAAAAAAGTATCATGACAGAATATCTTCTATCAATAGATTGAACATCGAGGAGATGTCAGGAGACTTCTGACTGCAGGAGCTTACGCTGTGTGGTGTGGCTTTGAGAGGAAGGTTCAGTTCCGAGTAACATTTTGCAGTGCTTCAGTAGGGCAAAGGCATAAAAAGAATTGAAGATCCAGGGTTCAGTTACTTTTGGCAGCAGGGGGACATACTGAAAAGGAAGGAGAAGGTGTTTGGAAGTGGGGAAACAGGGTCCGGTGCATGATATGAGCTCCCAGGACATTGCTAAGGGCAGATCATGCAAAGCCTAATCCTGCTGGTGAAACATAGCTAAAGGCGAGGGGGACCAGCAGTGGTTAGAGCTGAAAAGGTAAATCCACTTAAAAAGATGCCCTCTTTGGTGGGAGGAATATCTGGAGCTTCAAGTTGGAGTCAGGAAATAATGCAGGGAAGTTCCTAAACAGCTCCAACTTCTTGTTCTACTCTGCTGTTGATGGGGTCACTCAGAAAACCAACCCAACCCATGTGGGGGTTTGCTCTCCTCCTCATCCTCAACACTTCCTGCTGTTAGAGCTGGGGGTAGGATGGGAATGAGGATGGTTTTGTGTCCCTGCTTGAAACCTCCACTTTATCCAGACCCCACATTAATGGCAATAAGGTCTAAGGGTTATGTCTTGACTGAGTGAAATAAGACAGAGAGGGAGCTTTACAAAGCTACGTTGCTCAAGTTTCATGGTGCAGTTATGATTTAAAACTAGTGGAGTGTTCAAGGCCAGGTTGGATGCAACCTGCTCTAGTGGAAGGTGGCAAGGGTTGGGACTGGGTGAGCTTTAAGGTCCCTTCCAACCCAAACCGGTGTGTGTCTGTGATTTCCAGGTTCACCTGATTGCCCAAGGTCTCACATCAGGGTGCTCTCACCTCCTTGAGTCCAAGGCAGGGAAGATCATCTCCAGCACCTCAAGCGGGATGTCTCAAGCTCTGTCTCTCAAGGCTATAGGGACTCTTCCCTGCTCTTTCAGCTCAGTCGTCAGGATCAGGAGAGGGAATGAAACCCCAGGATCCCTGCAGAGCCCTGGCTGGGCTGGATGCAGCAAGTTCTGAAAACCAAAAGTGAAAGCTTCAGTTTTAGAGTGCTCAGGCGAGGCCTAACATCTTGGAGGGAAAGCAGCAAGTCTTGACTGTGGAAGAAGTAAAAAGAAATGGGCTTTTACAAACCAGAACTGTTGAAATCTCAAATCAACATGGGCTCCAGGCAACCAAATCGATCACAGGCCTTGCTGGTCATCAGGCACCATCTTAGCACAGTGTGGGAGGAGGAGAAGAAATAGGAACTTAGATATGTATGGGTAAGCCCAAGAAAATCCATGGTTACAGCAGCAAGAACCACATCAACCAAAACATACAAAAGCCACTTGGCAGCCATTCCCAAGAGACGGGACAGGAGGAAGATACAGAGGGTGCATCAGGGCTTGGTCAAGCTTCTTGGTCTAGTCACCATGGGACTTTATTCCAATAGAGCTTGCTTGGCTTTGCTCAAATGCCCCTGGTAGGTGTGTTCACAGCCCTTCAGCTGGTTTCCCTGCTGCTGGAAGCTAACTGTGCCAGAGGAGTAGAAAACACACTGCTTCCCATCACTGAGAAGCCTCTTGCCCCATCATCATCCACCATCACACCCCTTCGCACCTCCCTCACCAGCAGCAGGACAGCCAGGGGGAGCTGAGGGGTGTTTCATCCCCATCATAACGTTTAGTGCATCAGCATCCAAAATAGAGGCATGTTTGAATCAGTCTGATGATTCTCATATACCTTCCCCCCGCCCCGCCCCAAAAAATAGCTGCATTAAAAGAAAACAAAGAAATGTATCAAACTGAGTAACCTGAGAGCTTTAGAGTGGGTCCTTCTCAGGAGCTCTTGTATCACCAGGCCTAGTGGTGCACAGCGTGGAGTGGATCATATAGCATCACAGAATCCCAGCCTGGTTTGGGTTGGAAGGGACCTTAAAGCTCCTCCAGATCCAGCCCCCTGCCACAGGCAGGACACCTTCCACTAGAGCAGGTTGCTCCAGCTCATCCACACAGTGGCCACTCCTGGTAATTCCATTGGGAGCTTTGTGGTAGTTAATGGTTTATCAAAAGCTCCATGACCTGGGAGAGGACTTTTCACATTGAGGAGCCCCGAAGTCAGAAGAGGGGAACTTGCAACCTCTTGGCTGAGGCAGCAGATGGAAAACAGCCAGTGTTGAGCATTAAACAGGAACAACCCCCAAAATTACCTCATGACTTTTATGCCAGTTTCAGGATTTTGCAACAGCCTGACTCGTGGCTTTTACTGTTACGAGGATTTAAAGGAGCCCCTTTTACCCTCACATTTAACTCTTTCTGGGAGGCTTTAACTTGCTTCCCTCTGCCTGCTGGAAGTGGTTCTGTCCCTTTTAACAGTCATTTCAACAGAGTAAGGCAAGGGAAGAACACAAGAGGATGGCTGCAGTAAGTAAACCCCATGAGGCTGGGGTTTTCCACCTACCTAGGAGTCAAACAACAAGCCACCAGGACCAGGAGATGAACTCCTGCGTTCCCAAAAGTTTGCTCTTGTCCCTATGCTGAAGCACTCCACTTCTGAATGCAAAGAGATACACCACAAGGCTGTGTGTGTAATAAGTAACTATAATCACTGTTTTGAGGATGGAACAGAGAGCCTTGAAAGTCCAAAAGGGCCAAGTTAATACTGCAGCATCAGACAATCACATCACTGCTCTCATCCTTTCAAAGGGAAGAGAGGAGCCTGAGCCCTTAAACAACACTGAGTGCAGGAGGCTGGTTGGGAACTCATGTTAGAAGAGGATCTTGTAAGGCCCATCACAACCAACCTACAAAGTCAGACTGCTTGTTCTTGGCATTAGAGACATCAGACACAGGTTTAGCCCTAAAGCTTTGTGTAGGGTGAAAGTGTGTGATGACAAAGCTAAGATGCAACACAACAAAAGCCTTGGGTCCCTGTGCCCCTCATCAATTCATCTCCCTGGTTACAATTGCAGTGTGGGTGCTCTGCCACCCCACTTTGCCTCTGCCTACAGACCATAACCAACTCACAGTGACCACCCAGCAAAGTGATTCCCAGAGACAAAACAAAGAGATGAGCTTCCCAACTTGCTCATTCACAGCCAGGGCTGGGATTGCTGGAGGGAACGGGAAGCAGGGACAGGGTAAAGGCAGTGGGGATAGCTGGATAGCTGCTTCAGTTCTAGCCCAGCTTCAGTCTGAGCCCTTGCTGACCTATCCCTGGGGATTGCTCTCAGCTCACAGAGCTGGAAAGCAAGACACCAGGGAGGGATAATCCCCACTGGCTCACAGGATGATGCGAGGGCTGGAGCAGCTCTGCTCTGCAGCCAGGCTGAGAGAGTTGGGCTGGTTCAGCCTGGAGAAGAGAAGGCTTCTTCAAGGGAGACCTGAGAGCATCTCCAGTGCCTAAAGGGGCCTCAGGAAACCTGGAGAGGGGCTTTGGACAAGGGCCTGTAGGGACAGGACAAGGGGAATGGCTTTAACCTGCCAGAACAGGAGAGACTGAGATGAGCTCTTAGGCAGAAGCTCTTCCCTGTGAGGGTGCTGAGGCGCTGGCACAGGGTGCCCAGAGAAGCTGTGGCTGCCCCATCCCTGGCAGTGTTGAAGGCCAGGTTGGACACAGGGGCTTGGAGCACCCTGCTCTAGTGGAAGGTGTCCTTGCCTATGGCAGGGGTTGGAGCTGGATGAGCTTTAAGGTCCCTTCCAATACAAACCAGGCTGGGAATCTGTGATATGATGTGATCCCCATTTTCAGCATCATTGTATGTGCTTAGGCCCTACACAGTGGCTAGAAAGGGAAAAAGAACTGATGAGACAAAACCAAGTATTACCATGTCGGTGTCAAGGAGGTGACTTCTCTCTAACCCTATCACACATGCCACCCTTAGGGAGGCCCATCACCACATCTCCCCAGCTTCAAGGAAGGAGCCAGATGGGGTTTTGAGTTGGGCTGGGGGGAGCAGCACATCCTCAGGGCAGTGGCAGACCCCACTGTTGCTTTCTGTACATCAAAGCCAGAGCATCCTCCCTGGAGACACACATCACCCCATGGCCTTTACCAACTTGGGGCAGAGAAAGCATAGGGCTGGGTGCCAGCATGGATGGACATAGCTGAGGGTCCACACTGGTCTCATATTGAGTGGCCCAGGGAGGGAGGAATGCCTTTGCGGTGGCCCCCCAGAGGAATGCCAGGTATGCAGGGAGCAGAGGTCAGGCACGGTGAGGGGCAGCTGTGAAAGGGAAAGATAAAGGCAATAAATCAGGCTGCGGGAAGGGGGAGGAGGGCACAAGTGCACAGAGCTGCAGGAGGATGGTACCAGGCAGCCCCCCCCAGCACAGGGAAGGGGGGTATGAAGGCTTACCTGTGCCACAGACCAGCCTGGGGATGGGGTGATGGAGGGGGAAAGGAAGAAAAAAGCATCCATGGTGGGGAAAGTGGTTTTCCTGCGCTAAAACAAAACAAATCAAAAGGAAAATACATGAAGACAAAACCCCAGAAGCTGTGGGTTTGGTACTGATGGAAAGAGCCCTCAGAATAGAGGTTTGCCCTCAGTTTGAGTCTGTTTTCTATTGTTCCCATAATGGGAGATGGCAGCCTGCATTCACTGCTGGAGCAGAAGACACATAACTCTCCCTGGAGAAAGTTACAAAGGGCTATGAAGTCTTTAAAACCCTCTATTTATTTTCTTCTGATACAGGAGGCTTCCCTTAGGCTCAAACCTCCATTGTGCAAGCATTCATTTCTTGCGGAATCCAGCTCTGGAATCCATTCCTTGTGGCTCCAGCTATGTGAGACTACTAAACAGTGCCTTAGAGATTGGATGGACATCTTGGCAACTTCGCTAGTGACCTGCACCCCTCTCTTGAGCCCTCCAGGTGAAAGCGGGTATCCAGACACATGGCTCTGGGACACAGGAGTAGTCAGGGAGCTCTGCTTGCTTACCCAGAAAGCAGAATAAGCCCCCAGAGACCATCCATGCTGGTCCACATCCATTCTGTGTAAGGAGAAGAGCTATAATAAACCCACACCAGATGCTTTGGATCTCATCCCACCTGGTACGGTCAGAGCTGATGCACCCTGGAACAGATGATACCAATATAATCTCAGCTTCTACAGCAAGATATGAGAACCCAGGCCCAGTGCAAACCAAGAAACAAACGTTAGCCTGCCTGTGTGTGGAGAAGCGGATGGGAAACAGTGACCTGTGTAGTCTCATGGCTTTTAGCTTGGTTTCTTAAGAAGCCCCCAGGCATCCACCATCCCAGTGCTGGGGAACCTCTGAGCCCTTGGCCAGGCTCCTTTGGCAGAGGAGCTGAAGTCTCAGTGACACGAGGCGCCCACGAGCCTTGCGAAAATAGGTGACTTGCTGTAGAAGAAAGCAAAGGGCTATAAATATCCTGAGTGAGGGAAGGATCCATCACTCACTCAGCTCTCATTATGCATCAGAGAAAGTTCTTCTAAAAACCCCTGCCACAAAGAAAGGCCCAGGTATGAATCATGCCTTATGAGCTAGCAAAGAGTCCAATCACAGTGGTGGAATCCTAATGGACCCAGACATCTTCTGGGCCTCTGCTCGAAACCATGTATTCATGCTCATTTCCTGGCCTGGGACCATGCAGTGGGCACCCTGACCCTTGGGAAAGATCTCCTGAGGGCAGAGGACCATCTGTTGGACAAGAGATAACATCTCCCTTTGAAGATGCTGCCTACAAAGGGCTTCTCCCCCTAAAAAGACTGAACAGTAGCAAGTACCCAGGCTGTCTGCCATCCACAGCCTTGAATACACTCCCTAAAAGGTGTTTACAAATGGGGTTAAGAATGGATAAAATAGAAGAAAGAGGAATTTGCATCACAAGCCCATCTCCTTTCCTGATACTGAGTACCCTCTTTTTCCCTTGGGCTGGATTCAAGCCCAAGGACTGGACCCTATGGGTAAGGATAACAACTGCAAGTCCCTGGGCCAGAGGCTGGAAGGACAACACCAACTCCCTGTTCAAAGCCCACTCCCACAGAGCAGGCTGCCTGCCAGCCTTTGTGAGATGTTAAACAGAACATTCTGGATGCTGTGCTCTGGGTTAGCAATAATTTAGCAGGCTAAAAGAAACTCTTACACCCTTTTCAGTGAACACAGTGAAATCAAGTGAGATGCATTGGGGCAGAAGTGGTGTGTGATGAAGAGGAGAAAAGGAGCAGTGAAAAGTTAAAGTTTGAAGGCTGTGGGGATAAAACCAGTTCTTCACTGTCCAGGATCATAGAGAGGGCTGGATACTGATACAACACAGATGCCTAGAACAACCTAAATAGCCTAGATAACCTCTAATCTGGGCTATGGCATGTCCATCCATCACTGAACTGGAGACATGGAGCCTGCTATGACCTAATTCAAGCCCACATACTGGATCAGCAGCTCTGCACTACAGATCCCAGGGTTGCTCATGGTCAAGGTCTTTGAATCTGTCACAGGGCTTGGAGCAACCTGCTCTAGTGGAGGGACCCATGGCAAGGGGGTGGAAGTGGATGAGCTCTAAGGTCCCGTCCAACCCAAACCAGGCAGTTCCAAGAGGTCAGGCACAGGCTGTGGAGGGGTGGGTTTTGATGAATTTGTTCCACCTGATGAGCTCACCTCTTGGCAGGACAAACCTGCAGATGACAGGAAGCTTTGTGCCTCCTTTTTCAGTTTCTCCCATCCATGCCTCCAGCAATGATGCTCAGTCTTTTGCTCGAGGTAGGAGCAATGGCTTTCCCAAGTCTCTCCTGCTGTTTTTCAGTTTCTGATGTTCTTATCTGTTCTTTCACTTCCCCAAAGCCCTGCGAGTGCTGCAGCCAAGTCACCTCTAAAGTATGAGCCCTCATTCACCAACAGGTCAAACCATCCCCCAGCGTAATCTCGGTAGTGAACAGTTAAAGCCAAAGCTGAAGCCCTGCATGTCCCCTCCCCAGGAATTCCTGAGGGTGGGAGCCTTGGGAAAGGAGGGCAGCTCTGCTGAGACAACAGGGGAGATGGATGGAAAGGATAAAATGGATCAGGAGCCTATTTGTGGGCTCTTTGTTGTCTCCAAGAAGCATTTCTTGTGATGAGAGAATCACATCACACAACAGGCACCCACAGGAAGCTACAGGAGCCAGCAAGCTCCGTTTCAGTCATCACTCCTCCCAAAAGCAACAGCTTCCAGCACTGGAAGCTTTGAACTGGGCTCCCCTCATAAATCACTGTGCTGACACTCAGGGATAAGCAGTTCCCAGGTTGGCATGTTAGAAGCGTGTTCAAACTTCATCCCACACCATTCCTCAGATGGAGCCCTCAGAGCTTCTGTCCCTGAGAGCCCAGCAGCCCTGCTCCACTAGAACCCATCAGCATGCACTGCAAACATGCACATTAGCCTGATGCCCTGATGCTCTGAGACACTTGCCTTGCTCACAGCAGGCCACAGTACCTAGTTTCCTCTCTTAGATTAGTCATTCTTCCCAAATTTCCTTCTTTTGTATACAGGTTCCCTCTGTTTCCTGCTACAGGCTTCATTTTCTCTGCTCTATAGGCACGTGGAAGTGTTTGTGCTGTCAGAGAGACCATCTCATCTGTTCAGCTATTTTTACCCCTGCTGCAATAGCATCTTAAGAACTGTTTTTCCAGAATACTCTCTGGAGGTCAGGAAGGGAAAGAAATCATTTCTGGTACACTCAAATGGATAGAAGGCAATTTCCTACACAACAGGAGCCCATAATCATGCTGAAGTCTTTCAATCCTGATACTTCAGTTGGAAGGAAATCAGAGGCATGCTCTTTAAGCAGTGCCTTCAGCATAACATCCATGTTCACACCAAGCCTGGGTGCTGAAGGTGCCAGTCCACTGGGAGCATTTTGGGGGAGCTACTGAGAAGTAAAAGCTTTTGGTTTCTTTCCAGAACAACTCAGCCTCATCTGAGCATTGCCCCCTGAGCTGCTCTTTCTGTCAGCACACCCAGCCCTGGCACCTGGAAACACGGGAAGATCAAGCCTCTGCAAACAGGGATTTGTTTGGAAAAGGATAATAAAGATATTTCTGGGCTTGGCTCATTCCTCATGACTGCACCAGGGAGTCAGGTTCCCTCTTGCTGCTTCTAGAAGGCAGCGTGGCCATGCTGCAGCAAACCCAGCCTTGCCCACCAGCGTGGTATGTGCTGAGTGTCCTTAGTACACAACTACAGGCAGGCACACGCATGCACTGCCTCCGGAACACTGCTCCCAGTCAGGGAATGGCTGCTGTGACCACACTCTGCAAAGGAAATGGCTTCTCTTTTGCCAGCTGCTTTACCCTGGCTCCCACCACTGGGGTTGGTGCAAGCTGGCACTCATCTGGTCCCAGCAAGCCAACCTCCTGCTTACACTGCACATGGGTGCCACAAGGATCAGCCTACACCTGGTAGGCAATTACACAGGGTGCAAGTCTAAGCATCCTTCGGAATTGCCTCTGTGGACACATGTAGCGCGATGTTGTATTGAGCCAAAATGCATTCTTTTCATTACATTAAGCCGAAAAATATCCTTACATTTATTCCTGAGTAAGAACATTCCCTTTCATCTGGAAAGCACATCTAGATCACCTGCTCTGCAGTCAAGACATAGGAGAAAAAGGGAGAAAATATGGAGTTGCTTTGGACCAGAAGAGCATTTTCAGAGTATCATTGATGCTATGTAGCATTTGTGGGACACATCTGAGTGTGCCTTAAACACCCCAAGCTTTCAAAATGGTGTATTCTTCCACAGAGTTGCTGGTTTTGGGGCCTTTGGCAGATGTCTTATTTAGAAAGCTTCTTTAAACCACGAGGTTTAAAACTGAGTCTTTTGTCCCCAAGTCTGCAAACACCCTGAGGCTGTTGGTTCAGTCAGATACATCCAGCATTCGGTGGTCAATGGCCCTCAGTCATCATTGGTGCTGCTGCTGCTGTCAGAGCTGGTGGCACTTTGTGCTCCACCTGCAGCTTCTTCTTGGCTCAAGTCCTCAGTTCCCAGTGAGCCACTGCTCCCTTGTCAATGGTCTTGTCAACTTTGATGCCATCGATGTCTCCCCTGACTCTCCCTCCTCGCACACAGGGCACATCACAGTCAGGTCTGAACTTGTACCAGCCGCAGCTTTGCTCCTGGCAGTGAAGCAAGAAGTTGTCATCTCCCTCTGCTTCACAACGAAGCATCCTTCACAACGCTGAGCTGCACAACTCCCTGGGGTGGCTGCACTGTGAGAGGTGCTGGCAGCCAGCTTGGCCCCAGGCGTGGCCTAGGAAAGCAGGTGGCTGAAGTGCTGCCCTTCAGCCCTGGGAAATACATGTATTTACAATCACCATTAGAATCACAGAATCCCTGAAATTCCCCTGTTTCAGTTTGAACCCATCACCCCTTGTCCTATCACTACCCTTCCTCTCTGGCATCCAATTCTCAGGCTCTCAAAACTTGCTGGCTTGGCTGCTCCTCCTGGCTCTGTGCTGGACTGGAGCTGCTCACAGCTTGGGAGCTGAAGGACAAGTCTAGGTGGAAATCACCTCCCGGGACAGCCCTGTTTAATGCAAAGTCAATGTCAGTGTGGGCATGACTCTGTTTCTGAGATGCAGTGGAGGTGTTTGACCACAGCCATCAGCTCCTTGCTTGCTCTTTGTTGTGTTTTAATGGCATATCACCAACAGTTGTCTAACCCACCATCCAGAGACCTGACCAGCTTCCCTAGGGCTCTTTCCTTTGTGTTGTCACTGTGAGGGGCCTACAATGGATATCTTCCTCCCATCAGGTCCATACCCTGATCCCAAAACCTTCTGGAGCCACACCAGAGCTGAATCTGGGTTCTCACACATGCACTACCATGTATATCTCTGCATGGCAAACCCAATCTACTTTAAGGCCACAGTTATGTGTTAATCCTCCTCTGGCCTCTTCCCTATCAAGGCATCATCTAAACTATTCCACAGCCCTGCTGTTGACTTTGATCATTTATTCACAGGCTGGACAGATTCTCTCCGTTATGAATTACAGGGCTCTAATTGGATTGAGAGCCAGGCCTGCACCTTCCCTTGTAATTTAGCTTTAATTAATGCCCATTCATTATTAACTGTTATCAGCCAGGCTTAATATCAGCTGGTTATTACCCAGAGACCAGCACAGATTGTTTTCATCTCCATTATTACCCATTTCAATAATGTCTCTCTCCCCTGTCGACAGATGCACACAGACCGTGTGTGTCAGCATAAAGGATGGCTGTTAAGCAACAACGGGTCTTTCAGAGCTGCCAAAGTCAAAGGGAAGTCTCCCTGTGTCTCTAGGTCAGTGCCCAAGGCAGTGTGAAAAGGAACAATGCCCCTGGATTCCTACAGGAGATAGACACTTCACCTTTTGCTTCTCACTGAGGCACAGAACCTGGCATTGAAAGTGGGAATGCGCTGTTCTGGAGCTATTTTGAAAGAATGGGGGCATTTTCCTGTTCTTTTTCTAGTTTCCATTTTCTCATTTCTGGCTTGAAGGAGAAAAAAAAAAAAAAGAACAGAAAAAGAAACCTTTCCTTCCTCTTCCCTTTTATCACATTCCCCCCTAAAATAGCAGCAGTAAAAGTACCACAAAGCAAACCCAAGAAAACAGCAATCCAAGTACTCGGGAGAGGGCTTCAGAGCCTGGTTAAAAATAGAGAGCTGAAGGAGAAAGAAGAATGCTTTGCCTCCAACCTGCATCCACTTTCCATCCTGCAGAACCACTCCTGAAAGTCCTCCAGCAAAGCCAGAGGCTTTGAAGCCAATGCAGCCATGCTTCCAGGCTACTCCTGCTCCTCTGACTTCCCCTGCAAGCAGTGTGTTGAAAGCACTTCTGTCACATCCGGGTGATGGATGGAGACCAGGCAGGCACAGGTAGGAGTCAAACTGGAGCATCCACTGAAATCATGTTATGGTGACAAGGGACATCCCAGACACAGGCTGCTGCCTTGTGGCAGACAGAAAGGAGGGAGAAGTTTTGGGTGACGAATCATCTCATCCCCACATTGCCCAGGAACTGTTACCCTGAGCTGAGTGCATCCTCCATCTCTTCCCTGCAAAGACTTCATTTGGTTTAATTACTCTCATTTGGAAGTCAATTCAGATTGGCTTTCCTGAAAATGCCTGCCTAGAGCAGCCCTGGAGGAACCTAAAACCAAATGCAATTGGTTTCAGTTGCATATCAGCTCCCTCAGGCTTGACAGGAACAGGGCAAATGGGTCAACAAAGCACTTAAGAAGATGCTTTCCTAACTTGCTTTTTACTCAGGCATTCAGCACTGTCAACTTCCGAGCCCTCAAGGCTGGAAAGAATCCTACCCAAGGAAGAAACAAGTAGTAGAGGAGGAGCCTGACCTGTTTGTCAGGAGGGTGATGGGTAGAGGAGAGTGTCCCTGCATGTGCACATCTCCAGGCAGTGGGTCCCACAGCTCCTCACCATGGACCAATGCAGCTCGTGACCAGGCAATGTGGAGCAATGTCTATGGTCACTGCTGTGATTTTCCAAGCTTGTCAGAATCACATGGCAAGAACCAAATATTGGATGCTGCCAGTCCCAAAGGTGTTTTGTTAGCCAGGATGCAGCCTGGCTGATGGCCCAGCATGTTTGCACCCATGGGCCACCAAAGCAAGAGCTGAGTGTGGCCGCACCAGTTGATGTGGGGACATGTGGAAGGCTTTACTTCAGCTTTGCTCCATGGTGGACAGCATTCAATGATGCAGGGGCAAGGTTTGGAAAGGAAGAGCACCTTTTCTAGCACTCACTATTCAGAGCAAAAGGCTGATATTACAGTGGGAAGAAGCATCAAGAGCATGTCTCCTCTGCTGCTCCCCCTTCCCCCAGTTCTTTCAGAGCAGGAGCAGTGACTGCCATGATCTCTGGCTCTCCCATCATCAGGTTTCAGCCACTTCTAAGCCAGACTCCAAAAATCAACTCTGTATGGCCTCATCTGTGACCCAGAAACAAAGAGCAGAGCAGAGTTCACATCACAGCTTTCCCTCCTGCCAGCAGCCCTTGTAACCAGCTGATAACCAGAACCAAAGGGCTTGATATGGTGCTGTTCTCCAGCGCCTGGGACTGATACCCTGCCCTGCAGGAAACAGATAGCCAGTGTGGATCCGGGCATCACCTTGGTTTGCTGAAAGCACTCCTGGCTGCTGTGTCCAAGTCCTCTGCTGGCACAAATGGATGTATCCTGACAGCATTCCTGTAAAGCAGGAACTCTGCAGCAGCATTCTGTGGCCTTTCTTTCCCGTTTAGATGAGGGGAAAAGAGCTGTGGTTTGCATTTGCTGACCTTTCCATGCAACAAAGCATATGTGGTCCCTGACCGTGATGGTGCTTCTGGTACAACAGCAGGACTGGAGCCTGGGGATGAGCAGAGAATCACATAATGGTTTGTGTTGGAAGGGACCTTGAGCTCATCAGGTTCCAACCCCCGTGCCACGGGCAGGGACACCTTCCACTAGAGCAGGTTGCTCCAAGCCCCTGTGTCCAACCTGGTCTTGAACACTGGCAGGGATGGGGCAGCCACAGCTTCTCTGGGCACCCTGTGCCAGCGCCTCAGCACCCTCACAGAGAAGAACTTCTTCCTTATTTCTAACCTGAACTTCCCCCGTTTCAGTCTGAACCTACCACCCCCTGTCCTACTACTACAGTCCCGGATGAAGAGTCCCCCTCTGCATCCTTGTAGCCCCCTTCAGACACTGGAAGCTCCTCTGACATCTCCACACAGCTTCTCTTCTCCAGGCTGAACAGCCCCAATGTTCTCACTGACAAGGCAACCATGGGGAGCTGGAAAGGTGCCTCAGGGCACTACAAAACCCTCTCCCACGCTTCTCCAGGAGCAGCATGCCCAAGGCTGGATTTCTCACATCGCCAGCCTGCACCCAGAAGAGGCACATATGGCATCCAACACTGAGGAAGGGTGGTTGGAAGGTGCCACAGAGCCATCCTGAAGGGAGGCTCCTTGCTGGGTGAGTAGCACTGTCCCAACCCTTGCCAGGACCTGCTGCTCCTGGCACGGTGCCACCTCAGAGAAACCATCCAGCACAGCTCCTGCTCTAATGAATCAGGGGACTCTCTAGCCAGGACTAAAAACAAAGGCTGGACCTGCTGGCAAACCCAGGGCATGGCCTGTAATGCTGGTACCCCCCCAGCCTGCTGCAGGAGGAGATACTGATGCTGTACATTCCACAGTGTGGCATCTCTTGGTGCTGGTCCTAGTGCCCCAGGTAAATCCAGCACCAAGTCCTTCAGGCTGGGGAAGAGAAGGGCTGGGGGCATCCTCCTGCAAGGCTGGAATTCATGCTTTTGTTCTCACTCCATTTGCTGTTAATTGCTTCTGGCCACCAGCAGTACCAGTGTAAAGCAGCATCGGCACAAGGCCATGCGGCTGGGAGAAGCTCAGAGCAAGCAAAGGCAGCTTGCAAAACAGGCATTCCTCTGCTAACAGTGGTGTTTCTCATTGCTCCCAGCCCTTCCCAGAGCCTCCCTCAAGTCCAAGGGTCCACAAAGCCGACTGGGTTTGGGTTATGGAGACACCAATCTGTCCCTGTATCAGAGACAGGGCAAAAAAGGCAAGGACAGCAACAAATGAATAGCAACCCCCAGCTATTCCAACACAAAGGCAAGCCAGCATGAAGATGTACCCTCCAACCTCTCGGATCCTCTTCTCCAAGGCAGGTGGTGTTTTGTATTCCGCTTCCTCCAGCATCCCAGTTCCTGCCCTAATGCAGGGAGAGCTCCTGAAATAGCTGCTTCTAGCCACTTTCTTTTGGATGCAAATCATTGGTATTCTGCAAGAAGAGCTCTCACTTGGAGAGCTATCCTGCCAGACCTGTTCTAGCTGATTTCCTCACAGAGCTGAAGCCCTTCCTATAAAAACCTTTGGCTTCAAACCAAGCAATCAGCCAGGATTTGCCTCCTTTCTTTATAATTCCACAACTGTCCCCTCCTCATTTGTTTCCTTTGATTTCTCTCCCTTTCACATCTGCATTACTGCAGAGTACTTACTGAGATTTACGGCTATATCTCATCTGGCATACAGGTAATTCAATACACACTTGCTGGTCCAGTTTGAAAAGCAAACAGCTTCTCTCACCATTCTGCTTTAGGCTCAGCTACTTTAATTGCCTGGGACATACCGTGCACAGGGTAAATATTTGGTCCCAGCTCTGAAGCTTTAAGCTCCCTCTTGCTCTCTGCATGCAAATTGGGATCTTGGCAGTGTTAGGGGATGCCCTTTCCCACACTGGAATGAGCGGGTTCACTTCTTCTATGATTCTATGAATTGGGTCATTGGTGAGGAGCAGCAGAGCAGGGGAAGGGCGAGAAGGGGGAGCAGTGTGGCACTGCAGGAGACACAGGTCACAGAACCAGAACAGCTGAGTTTGAAAGGACCTCTGGATGCCACGGGTCCAAACCCCTGTTCAAGATCAGTCCAGCCATGGCTGTGTCCAGCTGGCCATGGGTCCAAACCCTGTTCAAGGTCAGTCCAGCCATGGCTGCGTCCAGCTGCTGACTGTCTCGAAGGATGAGCTTGGTTTGTGGGAAGTTGCTTCTTTCCAGGCAGGATTTTCTCAGCTTTTATTTCACTCCATAGAAGGAGGAGAGATTGAGAGCTTATTCAGGAGAAAAGGCAGGATATTAAAGCTAAGACATGCTATGCCTGCAGCCAAGAAGGCAAAAGATGGGAAAAACCTGACTTCTCCAAGATTATGCAGCTCAGTGATTGAATGGGGGAGACAGCCGAGGTTAAACTCATGCCATGGACTGTGTGGCAGCAGCAGTACCAAGAAGATCATTTGTGGGCTTCCACACTTAACAATGTGCAAGGGAAACGAATCTTAGCTACTCCAATGACCCAGCCAAATGGCCATGTTGGATTAGCCTTCACCAGGACCATGCTTTGCAGCACGGGAGGTGCTTTCATGATCCGATCACCTACACTTCTCCTGGTGAAAGGAGCAGGCTTTAACTTACTGCTGTGAGGATGCTTAGAAAGCAGGAGAAGACAGGCACCACTCTGGAGGAGAATGCACACTCTTCTGCACGTGGGCCATGCCGAAGGGCTCTTGCTTCACCAAGGTGCAGGTTACCCAGCTCCCCAAAGTGTGGTGATACCTCACAGTGCAAGGAGCACGGTGGAAGGAGAGGAGCCTTTCCTCGAGTGCCAGGTCTCCTTGGCAGCTTCTCTGAGAAGCAAAACTAAAACCAGTCCCAGAAGGCAAGCTGAGAAACCACCCAAATCTCTAATCCCCAGGCACAAGCCTGGGTATGCCCTGGGGTGGGAAATTTATATCCTCTGTCAACAGGAACTACACACAACAAAAGCAAATCCAAGGGAACTGCATTTTGCATCTCACAGCTTTCTCTTGCTGACTGCTGTGCACTAGTTTTTTAAGGTTGGCTGGTTATAAAGTCATGTTCCCAGCTCCACCAGACACTCAGATCCCTGTGCACTCTCCTCCTCCTTTTGTATCTGTTGCAGACCTTATGGTATTTGTAGATCATCTGGCACAGTGAGGTCTCAGTCCTCTTCAGACCCCTGGATAGGAACATACTGTGAAGTTTCTGCTTTGCACCAACTGACCCTGCTCAAACAAGTCCAGAGAAACACCAAAAAGATGCTGCAAGGGCTGGAGCCAGGCTGAGAGAGCTGGGCTGGTTCAGCCTGGAGAAGAGAAGGCTCCTTAAGGGGAGACTTTAGAGCAGCTCCAGTGCCTAAAGGGGCTACAGGAAACCTGGAGAGGGGCTTTGGACAAGGGCCTGTAGGGACAGGACAAGGGGAATGGCTTTAACCTGCCAGAACAGGGGAGACGGAGATGAGCTCTTAGGCAGAAGTTCTTCCCTGTGAGGGTGCTGAGGCGCTGGCACAGGGTGCCCAGAGAAGCTGTTGCTGCCCCATCCCTGGCAGTGTTGAAGGCCAGGTTGGACACAGGGGCTTGGAGCACCCTGCTCTAGTGGAAGGTGTCCCTGCCCATGGCAGGGGTTTGGAGCTGGATGAGCTTTAAGGTCCCTTCCAATACAAACCAGGTTGGGATTCTGTGGCTCTGTAACATGCTCAGGCCCTCAGCAGACGCACACAGAGCTAAGAGCAGCAAGAGGAGGATTATTCATCCCAAAAGCTTTCTGAAAGGCCCACAGATGAGGACCAGAGAAAGACAGAGGCCATATACAAACCCCAGCACTCCAGAAGCCTATCTGCAATGCAGTGCAATCAAGGAGTGACTCTGTGGCAGGCTGAACTCTCTTGATGAGCTGATGCAGAGCGCTGCACGGGCAGTTTTCCCTTTAATGGAGGGCACTCCCTTGGAACAAGCACTTGGCACCAGATGAGTGAGGAATGAGATGGCTTTAAGCCTGTAATTTAATTAGACTGTGTAGAGCTGCCTAAGAAAAGGACCATTTCCTGAGCAGGCTGCAGTGCTGGTGCCTGGCAGCCTGGACACTCTTGCTGTGTCACACAAAGGCAGAGCAGAGACCTAAGCTCCAGGTCTCTTTCCATGTGGGGGATGTTCCTGCCCTCCTTCCATTTTGCAACCAAGCAAAGATCTTGACCAAGACAAGACAAGGATCTGCTGCAAGAGAGTGCTGTGGTGGTCATGCCTCCCCTGATGATGAAGTGGAGTAGCCCCCATATGCACTCCCATATACACTGCAGGAAAAGCTGGCGTGGGCATCACTTTGGAGCACAGTAATTCCCTCTCCCAACTGTCCTTAGTGCTCAGATGCTCCTTTGTGGCTCAGGGCATGTCTAAGCACAATGACAGGCTGCAGGTGATGGGATGCAACAGCCCTGAGGAGAAGGACTTGGGTGAGGAAAAGCTCCCCATGACCCAGCTTCAGTGTGCGCTTCAGACCAGAACCCCCATGTGCTGGGCTGCACCCCTGGAGCGTGAGCAGCAGGTCAGGGAGGTGGACCTGCTTGAGCAAGTCCAGAGGAGGGCCTTGAAGATGCCCCTTGAAGATGCACCTCTATGGAGACAGGCTGAGAAAGCTGAGAGATTCCTTCTATGATTCTATGAAATGATAGAGCCAAAGGAGCTGTGGATGAGGGACCGGCTTGTAAGGGCAGGGATGCATCAGCCCATCCCTCCAAAAAGGAGAGCAGCGTGGGCTGATTGATGCCTCACTTCTGTCTCAGGGAACACATGCAGGGTAAGCCTGGCCTGAAATGTGAGTGGGATCAGCTCAGCATGAAGATTTGGTCTGAGCCTTTCTGGCTTTCAAGCATGCCTGGGCTATGGCTCCCAGCAGCCCCAAAACTGCCCTTGTGCAAACCAATCCCTGCACAGCAGCAGAAGCCCAGACTAGCCAACAGCAACATCTCATTAACAGCAATTGGCTCCTCACCACATATCTCC